CCTGAGGTCGTAGGTTTGATCTACAGCCGTGCTCCAATGGACTATCTTTCTATGTGCACATTTAACATGCGCTCGAACTGTGAAGGACAAACTCGTGAGGAAACCGACAAACTTAGACCCAAAAAGTTGACGGCGTGTGTCAGGCACAGGAGGCTGATCACCTACTTGCCTATTGGATTGAAAAATAATCATGAAGCTGTTTCAAAATCTGAGGCCCAGACTTAAGGAGGTTGTAGCGCCACTGATTAATTTTTATTTTAAAATAAATACATAAATGTATGCACCATGGAAACCTCTCATTGGCAATGTCTATATATTTTTGTAACATTGTAAAAAAAATAATATACTAAAGTATACAATCGAAAGACAACGTTAAATAATAATCTTCTAAAGTATACGTCACCGTCACAAATAAATGACAGAAGTACTACCATTCTCAATAAATCTGTTTTCACATGTAATTTTCCTGATATATTGTCATAACCGTATCGGATACAATAAAACCCCCTAAACCATCATTGCTACACATTTGGTCATAGCAAATAGACGCGGCGCCTCCGGTCTAAATTTGTACCGAAATACGCTCACTCCAACACATTATCCCGTTTTATGACCTATAAACGTCAGTTGGGAACATAGTACGTTTGTGGGAGCCCTTATTTTGAGAACCTAATATAGCACTTTCTTTATTGGCTTCGCTGCCCTTCGAGCTTGCGTCGATTTGCTTCATTGTTATTCATTCTGGTATCAGAGCTTTTTTATTTAGGTACGTACTTCTAAACGGTAGGCAAGAAATACACGTAGATCTGTACATCTCTTGTCGGTTAAAAACATTGTTTTATAGAGTTAAGGATATAAGCCGGAAATCACTTTATTATTAGCAATTATTCTTTAGACCTTTGTTAAAAACATGATTTTAAATTAGTAAAGGACATAACCTCTACAATAACGCGGAAGTTCTGTGTTCGATTTCCGGCAAAACAAAAATTGTTATAATTTCCGCTTTAAATTATTTATTTATTTAAGATAACAGATTTAAAATTTAAGAAATAGGTCATAGTAATAACAAGTAAGCCTAAACAAACCTAAACTAAAGCCTAAAAGTTTTCACAAATTTGTTATTTTATTGTGGACAATTTAAAAAAAAGACAAGAAATCTATGAACTATGAAACTGTGCTTAGGAAAAAAGAATAATGTCATACATATGCAACTAAAACTGCCCTTTTTAATTTTAATGTATTTAGTTAAATGTATATATAATATGCGAGGCTTTATCTTATTGTAAGCAACAACTTTATTGTGTTTATAATAAGATTGTACGATATTAATTAATATATATTTTTTTATTATAAAATGGTAACAAAATTCCTCTGTAGCAATATAGGTTCAGAACTATAATTTATATTATAAAACCAGTTATAATATGTTTTTAATAATATAAAATTGATATTGATGGTATAGATTAATGCCTAACAACGTAATTGGTCTGGGTCTTTAAGATCATGTTAAATCAGAATACGTTATTTAATTAAAAAACATTTTTAATGAATATTTTTGGGTAGTTTAATTTTTGAATGGATTTTTTAATTGAATTAATTTGGCCCTTGTCTATTTATATAACAGGTGGGCTGAAAAGTTCGTAGCCTAATATAGAAAAAAATCTTATTTTTCATAGAATTTAATTTGATTATTCAATATAGTTGCCTTCGAGAGCGATCCAACGATTATAGCGGTCATACAATTTTTCGATATCATTTTATGGTACGATTTGTTTTAGTCTCAAAAAAGCTTAAGTTTCGGCGATTACCTTTCCATTAGTGCAAAATTTCTATCCAGCAAGCATTCTCAATTCTCTGAAAACAGGAAAAAGCTGGGTACCAAATCTTTCCAAAATATTTGGATTTAGTACGATTGAATAGCTTCAAACAATGCTCAGAATCATCAATGCCTTCTTGTTTTTGATCGATTGTGAACAGAGCTTTCGCATATCCAAATATTCGTCTAGGATATGTCCAACACATTTCTTTGACATCATAAGGGTCTATGTTTAATAAACTTCACATTTCGGTTATCCAAAATCATTTTGTGGACTTTTTTGATGTTTTCATGGGTAACAACCTCTTTGGGACGTCCACTGCATGGATTGTCCTCGGAACTCATTTCGCCTCGTTTAAACTGAGCAAACCACATCTCAACACATATTCCTGGTGCAAAATCCCAAAAATTTTTATCAAACGAAGCCTTGGATTTAATAGTATTTTATTCGTTAAAAAAACAATGCTTTTTTTAACACATGAAATTCCTTTTTATCCATGAATCCACTCAAAATATTATATCTCCCAAACTAAAATTACGACAGGGGTCAAATTTATACACGTGACTTTTTAAGAGTTAGGGCTAAATGCCTCTGCTTTCTTATCTGGCAGCTCCACATTTTCTTAAGAATTGTTCTCTTTGTTGAAAAGTACTCCTTTTTTCATCATCCATTGGCGCTACAACCCTACATGGGTTCTGCCTGCAAGTAGGTAATCACCCTTCACACGTTGTAGACTTTTGGGTTCACGAACGTACCTTAGGGCTACAGGCAGGCTTAAGCCACTAGATCAACCCTGCTCGAATAAATAGAATAGAAATTAAATATCAGCCAAAAAACTGTAGCGATGGATCTGTAATTTGCATATATAGTACATATAATTGATGTATAACCCAGACTCGGCATGCACTAAAGAAATCGGTATTATAAAAAAATCGTTTGTTAAATCTTTAAACTAATTGTCAACATTACGCAAATCCATATAATATATTATTGATATTAATAAAACCTCATAGTTATTTTTTACTTGTAAAATCTCTAAGAGGTTTTAAAAAAAATAATAAGAGCGTAAAAAGCAAACGCTGACGACATAATCTCGGCCGCTAATGCTAGCATGCAAAAAAGAAAATAAAACCAATAAAAAAACGTATAAAATTTCCATTTGGATGGAGCCTAAATAATTATTGTGAATAGACTAAGTAGAATGATACAAGGTGAGCGCGGACGGTCAGGTTGGACTGACAGATCCCTTGTTCTCTAAAGTCACAGAACACCACAACTGACGAGTAGATAAATACCTATGTTTGTAGTATAAAGCCTGTTATATATATCGATGAAATATGGCGAACCAAAAAGGCGAAAGTCCACGTTACTTAACGTAAACCGATTTGAATAAGGATTACAGTTCTAGTACAGTCGAGCTACAGTAGTCACATAATAATCATATCCATAGTATATAGTTAGCCCTTAGCTTAGGCACTACACTTATAATCGAATGGTTGTAATACAGATTTTATATGAAAACAAACATACATACTAACATAATCTGTCTAGCTATCTATTAATCTATACATCCACGCCTTTTCCCCTAATGGGTAGGTAGAGATCACGGATCTCCACTCACTAAAGTCCTGATATACCTCTTTGATTCATTCACTTCCATTCATACTCGTCGGTTATGGATACTTTTGACCGATCCCTGATAGAATTCACAGTACAATAATTGTATGGAAAGTTGATACGTTCGAGTTGTCAATTAATCCACTTATAGTTTTATGAATACGAAACCTATACCTGGTTAAAGCCATGGAGTACTTTCAACGATTGATTGAAATAATCAGCATGTATCAGAATTTTGTTAATCCGTAAGAAATATAAAAATCATTGAATCTCAATCAAATTAGTATTAATTAGATAATAATTTAGCAACAAATCTCGCAGTGGCAAAAAACGTAGACGTCAAATCATACTGGTTTCTTTTGAGAATATTTAATGTTATTAAATTATTAATGCGAAATTTTGTTTAATATAATCAATTTTATGTGTGTACTTCCGTTCCATAGTAACAATTTAATACCTTTATACTGATTATAAGATAAGTGTGCTTGTCGCATTGGGGTAACCTGTATAGCAAAATTATTTGGAGAAAAGAAGAAGAAAAGTTGCACGTTTGTTGAGCTTGGGTAGTATTATTTGTTATATTTAGATTATGTCGTCTAAATAGACGAACGGAGAGAATGGAGAGAATATATATCAAGTTGAAAATAAATTGTTTATTGACAGACCCACTTAGGTCGTTATTTCGGCAGGTAATAGATGTTCTAGAACGAGTCGAACTGACATTAACAAACTAAAAAACTCTACAGAGTTTTTCGTTTTTGCGGTGATAACTCGTAAAAAAGCAAATTTATTTGTAGATAATTAAAAATGGGTATATTTTAAAGATCTTTACTGTATTTTGTAATAATATAAAGCAGAGTTGGCCTAGTGGTTTCAGCGTGCGACTCAACCCTGGGGTCGTAGGTTCGATCCCTGGCTGTGCACCAATGGACTTTCTATCTATGAAGGAAAACATTTTATTCGGCATTCCTTATATTCAAATATTCGACAGTCTGTGCCTGACAGAAGGTTGATCTCCTACTCACCTATTAGAAATGATCACGGACCAAATACAGAAATCTGAGGCCCAGACCTAAAAGGTTGTTGCGCCACTGTTATATATTTAACAATAAATTTAAATAGTAATTATAATATTTTTCAGATAAGATATAATAACGAACATTGCAATATTAATGAAATTATAACTTTGATGATAATTCAATGAGACAATAATAAAACCTTGAAAGATTTTGAAAGATATCTATTAATACCAATTGTTAAAAATGTATTAATACCAAATTGTCGCTAAATGTTAAATAAATGACATATAAATATAATGACCTCGTAACAAACCTTTACCCGTATTTCAAGGGGTATGTACATCTATCGTAGACTATGTACCTATTTGAACGCACCACAAATTTATTATTTTAATAAATAGCCAAAGTGCCGGGCGAAACTAGTCTCGCGTATAAAACTTGATTTCTTTGTAAAAAACTCCGCCGGCAGTTATAAAAGCCAGGTATTGTATTAAAATACATCAGTCAAGAAAACTTATTCACTGGATTTAATTAAAGTAATTTCAGTATGGTAAAATATTTGGTGATCCTTTTGGCCTGTGCTGCCTTCGTGCATGGAGGTATATATATTTGTTATTATTTTTAGTCCGAATTAATTTAAAATGAATAACAATGATTGATTTGTTGTTCATAGTACTTAACCAAGGACCATAGAGTTTAGTGGTAATATAAGCAATATGGCAGAGTTAAAAGTTTGTTTTTGCATTAATATTAATTTAAATATATTTGATCTTTTATGGGTTTGTAGATAGATATTTAGAAATAATTAAGAATTTTTAACTTTGATTTTAGAAAGATAACGTAATGTATTAATTTAGTAATACTAAGTTATACTGGGCCATACAACACATAATTAATTTGTTCATATTATCAAATAGAAAGATAAAAATATATTTACGTTGCAGATGTTCTGATTAATTAAAAAATCTTGAAGGGCAATTTGGATGTACTCTTTTACATTTCAAGTTTTGTTTTATGGTCGAAAAACATAAATCGATCGAATGGTCGAATGCACGTGAATATAATTAATAGTTATCTATTAAAAATATTGTTATTAAACAAGCTACATTAAGTATCTTGTTTATAAGGTTGTATGACTCAGAGTTTCTTAATGTCGACAAATACTATGTTAGGGTTGCAATCTTTGGCAACAGCGTGTGTAAATGTTTTAAACTTAAAATAAAGTTTTTTACAATATTTGATACTCATGTTAACATATCTATGATAATATTTTATGAACTTTAATTACTCGAAGGGTATTAATAGCATTATATCTGATGACTTAATTTATGGTACAGGTAATAGAGGTAAAATATATTGGTCAATTTGTGGTAGCTCTGGTAGTTACAATTTGAATAATTATAACTTTATACAATAAATGAACTAAACTTAATTTAAACTGGACAAAGTTATCTCACATATATACGGCAGGTTTTAGAAAACCACTTATAATGTTGCAAATGATAATAGCAGTATTAAGTAATATTTTTTTTAAATACGTAATTAATCTCTAAAGAAACAATACTAATAATCCGTATATATGAGACAATAAAATAATTTATTGCTTGTTCTCCTCGTACGTTCTTTGCCCTTGATTTCAGACCTGGTACTCTATTAAAACTATCATTTTCAACGTTTATAAGGGGGTATACTGTGCTACCTTATAAATAAGTTATATCAAAAAACGAATTAAATATGACATGTTTAAATTACACCTAACTTTAATACTCTGTAATAAAATTATCCGGTGCAAATTTTAAAATTTAATATATCTAATAAATTAAAATATGTCAAAAAAACAAATATCTTTTGATCGATCTTTACTTTTTTCAGCATTAAATGTTAATATTAAACTGCTAGATAAGAGGAAGGAAGGTATACGTTTTTGTTGCCTTCGCGTATACAAATTAAAAATCAAACGTGTAGTGACGTAATGAAGATATCATTAATAACTAGACAAATAAAATCATTATTATTTACTTCCCCGTAGGACATACATAGATGGGAAAACAATTTAGGTATATAATTAGATATAATTCATTCTAGAGGTTTTACCGCTAAATTGCTCCAATTAAGTAATTATTGGTATAATTATATTAAATGTTTTTATAAATCAATCTGTCATGCGATGCACGGTCTCAAGCAATCACAAGGCTTATGTAATGGTAATTATAGATCATTATTCTTCATTATATATTTATATATACAGTAATATCATAATCTTTTATCTATCCCAATCCCCGCAGTGGTTGTAGCTTCTTCATTTATCGGTGATAGATAATATTATTATGACAAAAGTTATTAATTAATTATAAAGTTAGTAATCGATCTGGATATGGCATTCTCTCATATCACGATTGCTGAAAAGCACTGATATGCACTCGAAAATTGTCTTGGCCTCCGAAACGAGAAACTTCACTGGAAGTTATTGTTTGTAGTAGTCCTATGCCAGATTTAAAATTCTTTTTTTGTAATTATTAAGATATTTTAATTGAAAAAAAAGGGTCGTCAAAATACGACTTAAATATGTCATTAAAGTTTGCAGAATAATGCAATAATAAATTGGATTTGATCTTTGGATTGAACCTATAAAATAAAAGGTAATTACGTATAAAAGGCACAAAGCTGTCGTGACAACATATCACTAAAGTTTGTTGTTTATAGAAACTGCGCACTTAGCAAAAATATATTTAATGGAACTCCATTACACATTATGGAATTGATCCATGTATGTTATAAACATGTTTTATCGTTTTTAGATCGCTTTTTTTTATAATAGATGGGAATAGTATTTTTCTGTAAATCGTAAACAGACGAAGATTGTCATAATCTGATAAAATAAAACAATGAATCTTATTAAATACGCCTTTACTAAAAGTTGATAGCTGTCCAATGTCTTAACAATCATGTATCAATATTTTCTGTCTTATAAACTGTATAAGAGATTTCATAGTAAAATAATTCTCTAGGACTTAAAAATTATAGTGTGCTCAGTGCCTCTCTGTATGTCCCTCGATACGTAGGTGTTGCCCTTTAATAACGATTCATCGGAATCGATAATGAAATGAAACCAATACTAAATTTAATAATTGGCAGAATGTAATTGGCCTTGAGATTTTACAAAAAGTAGAAACAAAAAATGTCGATATGTGTTAGGTTATCTAATGCTAAGCATAGAAGGCGCAATTACAAAATTAATTATTTGGTTTTTGTCTATGACAATATTCTCGATATTGAATTTTGCAAAACTTCACCCGTTCCACCTTGACGTGTGGTATTCCACGACAGCGCACTTTTTAAGATACTTCTTGCCACGGGCCTCCACTTTATGGAACCAACTGCTGTTCCAGTTATTAACGAACTGTAACGAGTTAAGGGCCTTTAGAAGAACTGTACTTTAAAGGTAGTTGGTAGGTAGTTAGTAGAACCTTAAAGGTCGGCATACAATAGCAAACCTCCAATTGCCCATGGGCGGCGGTGAACACTTAACTTTAAGCCTGCCAGCTCGTGTGTCTCCTGTCTCATTATTAATTTCGTTATTAAGAGTTATTTACCTCTGATCTTGTACCATAATTAGGTTCTCACATTAATCAATACGTAATTATAGTTGTCACGAACAGTGCAAAGCTCTTGCACTACATAATATGCAATACATACAGTCATACATACATAATATATTACATCAGTTGTTGAAAAAAACGAAGACAACATAAAAATAAAAACTGAGCAAAGTGCCACGTGTTACCACCACGTGACTAATAAGATAAAGAAGAAAGATTTTGATGTTTGAACAAAATTACTGGACCGATTTTAATACTAATTTTAGGCTACTATTATTTCCAAAATATTTAAAGAATTGCCCAGCCAAAAGTCGCTAGTTATAATGATTTATGTTGCCTTACTATTTCCAGGTTACGTTAAAAGGTGCAAGGCAGGCGATACGAAATGTGCCAAAGAGTCAGCGCAGGCCGCGATACCCAGCTTTATAGCTGGAATCCCTGAATTTGGTGTGCACAGCTTGGACCCGATAAATATAAAGAAAACCGACGCAAGTTCACCTAATTTGAACCTCATTGTTTCTGACTACACCATCAGCGGGTTGAAGAGTTGTACTCCTAAAAAAGTCAAGTAAGATAATTTCATCTTTCTTAAATTATTTGGTCTCATTGAAGTAAAACGGACGTATTTAATTTTATTCACAAAAGCTTACCAAGTCTCTGCACACTGATACATTGGTATATAAAGAAAAATACAGTAATAAAATTTAGACCAATTAATTTGTTAGTGATTTCAAAGTTCAAGATAGAGCGTACTAATTCTTATAAGTAAAAGCACTTGCGAGCTTGCTGGCAGTGTAAGTGTTTATTGGCAGCGGTAAGCCTTAAGCGGCAGCTAACTGTCCAATGAACCTCCTGGCCTATCCAAACGTAGCTCATTAATCAGAAAATCGGTGAGCTTTGATCTAACCCGTTCAGGAAGGAGGGATGGAATGGCGGGATGGTTATTTCGAGGGTACACGAAATTTAAATTTTGACGTGTCATGTCTGTATGTTGGACTAAAGATACTATTGACCTACTACCTACTATTGACTTTTGTCAAAGTTTTCCAATAGTTTTTGAAGTTATACTTCTTTAGGCGCGTTATGAAAAATTGATGATAGTGAAATTTTACGATGCGCGCGCACCGTGACACAAAATTAAATGAATGAAGTTGCCCACGGAAGATGCTACGGCATTGGACATAATTTAAAAACAACATTCGAATAATAATAGAATTTATGTTACACTAAATTTAATGTAAGAGAATAATAATAAATATTTATTTATTTAATTTTTCAAATGTAAACTGAACTTTATTGACTATAATGACTCCTTTTCCAGTCTTTGATTATTTAATTGTAATTAATTATTTGCACGCAACCAAAAACTATTTTTAATAATGCCAAAGAAGTATAACTTCTTACGCACGTACATAAGTACACGCACCCTTTTTTTGTATCATTACTGTGAATTGTATAACAATTAAGAATGAAAGGGAAAACTATTTAATAAATTATCAATTGTATTTATATTTCAGATACGATAAGGCGCAGTCAAAAGTATTCCTGAAACTCCAATGCTCGGGTCAATTGGAAGGAAACTATGTAATGAAAGGAAAATTGCTGATCCTGCCTATTGAAGGAAAAGGACCTCTTCATGTTACCCTTAGTAAGTTTTATTCATAATGTTAGTACAGCTTATATTGGTAGAGCGTATTTGAAACTTCTGTAACCAGCTCCAAAAAATTAGTTATTTCCATTTCATTTTTCAATCTAATAGGCAAGTAGGTGATCAAACTCCAGTGTCTCACACACGCCGTCGACTTTTTGGGTGAGATATGTCGGTTTCCTCACTAAGTTTTCCTTCACCGTTCGAGCAAATGTTAAAAGCGCACATAGAAAGAAAGCCCATTGGTGTATAGCCGGGGATCGAACCTACAACCTCAGGAATGAGATAAAGCCACTAGGCTACTGCGGATTACTTAGTTGCCCGTACGAAATTTAAATAAATTTTAAAAGCTAACAAACCTTTGTTTTCAGACAACGCTGAGTTCAGTATCGTTCTGGACATTGTTGATATTGAGAAAAATGGTGTTAAATATTGGGATATCAAGAAGTGGGATATGTCGTATCAACTTAAAGGGAAGAGCAAAGTAGTATTCGAAAATCTATTCAATGGAAATGAAGTACTTGGTGAGTACGTTAAATAGCTAAGTTAACCTGCACCCTAAGTAGCCTACTTGGCCTACTAACTGTACCACTGTGGTGGTGCTCGTGTTATTCTTCTACACCTTTACTTTTCTGTTTTGCATTTTGATTATAATTATGTATCATGCACAATGTTTGGGGACGCGTAAAAGAACACATATTAAGACGTCTATACATCTAAACTTGTTTTGTATAAATAATGTTAGCATCACATCGAATTTATCATTCAAAACTAAAATACAGATCCTAATAACCAACCGTAAAGTGAAATTAGACTTCACCGATATATTTTGAATATCGTATGATAAGTTTTCTCTTTTAAATGACTAATTAATTAAAATCATATCCTTCTTTCAGCCCAAGCAGCAATACCAGTGATAGAAGAGAGCGGAAATGAAATTATTCTGGAAGTCGGCTCTCCTATTATTCACGATGGTATCAAAGTGATTGTCGAAGCAGTTAAAAATTTCTTCCAAAATGTACCAAGCAGTGAACTGGTTGAATAAATTTGTATCTATAATAAAAATTATTATTATTAAAGTTTACTACTATTAACTTAGTATTTCATTGATTCAGAACTTCCTATTTTTTAACTGTGTTAGTAAGGTTTTAAATACTTATCTCTATCTGTTGCCTGTATTTTTGGCCACAGACAAAGTTGTAAATATAAATGTACGCTTGTGCCCCACTTATGGGACTATATTCTCTTTCTTTTTAATCGGCAACTCATGTATGAGCATCGTGGTCAGCAACTAAGCATCTAGAGTGAACTATCTGTTTCCGTCGCGTCGGTTTCTGTCCAGCGCATCCTTTTGACAGTGTATAGTTTTGAGGACTATGAGACTTTCATGTGAATGGTCTCGTGATCTTTTGCCATCTGTGCTACCAACCACGATCAGTTTCTCCAAGTTCTCATCGCCTCTGCGCAACTTATATATACGGTTTTGCATAATGTAGTAAAATTTAGGTTCTCTGCTGGCGAACTACCCAAAGTGATTGTTGACCTCCGACACGTGAGGGCGCCACTTTCGACGATCTTGTGCTGCCGTTGGTAATCAACCACTTGGAGCTCACGAAAGTCCCTCTCCGCGGCATTTTTAAATCAGCAACATCTCAGTCGGGCGAAGACCAATTCCTAGATATGAATTTTGAATAACGTAAAATATATCTAATTACAATGTATAAATCAAAAACTAAAATATTTTTAAAAAGTTTGGTCCCGGCGACCAGTATTAATACTGGTAAGGTTTTCCGTAGGGTTTCCGTATTGGTAGCGATTGGTATACTTATTCGTTAAGCAAGGAAAGTACCAGCTCTGGAGTCACCGGTACTATCTTCCAGGCGCCTGGTTAAATCTTTAGTACCCACCTACGGCCCAAGAGCCTCTACTCCAAAGGGATTAAAATCAAATTTTGAGGAAAGACTAATATGAGTATCCTAGGAGATTATTATTATTATTAGAAGATTATTAACCTGATCTGGGGCTGCGCCAACTTTTGTTCGAAAGTGAGACGGAACACGCAAGTAGCATCCCATATCAAACCCCGTCTTATCTTCCAAGGGATCCAGGACATCCCATCCGGCGTCTCGCCATCGTCATTTGATACTTGTTGGCTGAAATATTAACGGAGGTAAGACAGCGGTGATGTCGTTCAGCGCAACATGACTAGAAAAATGACCTGTACCCTTTTGGAAATGGAAACCAAGGCACTTACTACTACGGCACCACTTACTTCAATGCCATAGGGACACTTATGGGGAGTACATATGAATACTCCTAAGCGAAAGCTGATGGCACTGCTAAGTGATTCAGGGTCCAATCTTCTTGCATTGTATGAGAGAAATATACGAATAATTTTAATCAAACATATTTTATATACATAATTGATTTATTTTACATATTAATATTTCAGTTTCCATTTTGTTATACTGAAATTACCCGTAGGCGTTATATTCAAATAGCTCTCGTGTCTCCATAACTCATCTTCCTTGTAAATTAAATAATATTTTCCCGAGACCGGATTTTGTAATATGAAACAAGATTATTCACCTGTAATAAATCACCGTTAGCCATCTGTTTATTTTCGTTCAAGTAATTTAATTATCACTTTTTGCAAAAATTCTTTATGATTCTCTGAGAAAATTACCTTCATTCAGTGAACGCAATCTGATATTTCATTCATTATAGTCAACTCAGTAGATATATATTTTTAATATGATGAAAGCTATATTCGTTAACGGGTACCTAAGCTTTTTGGTAATGATTTAAATAATTTAAACGGGGACCTAAAGGTGTTACGTTGCCCTAAGCTTCGTTAAATTGGTAATTAGAGATTAATGAACGACAATTAGTTGTCTTGTTTTGGAACCGGTGGCAAAAAAACGTAAATATCGAAACACGATTCACGAAATTGCGGTGTTTATTTAAATTGACATAAAATACAGCACAATTCTAGAAATATCTAATTTATTTTCACATTGCGAATTAAAACAAAATCTTCATTTGTTTTATATAATTTCAATATTGAACATTGACAGGTGTCGTATATCGTGATAGAGCCGTCAAAATATTTTCATTCACGCGGATAAAAAACGTAATGAACAATCACGCCAGTCTTAACCCCTCATCACGAGCGTGGGAATGCAAAAAATAGCGACACATGAAACGAACCCGACAGATTCATACGAATTTCCTGCATGCGATGAAACCGCATAAGCTCACTACCTGTAGACTTATTCGCGTTTGTCGTAAAATCGTGGTGATACTCGAAGTCGCTTTCGAAAGCTTTGAAAGCTAATGACAGTATATTCATTCACACGTATTGTACGAAATGTTTTTAAATTTGTTAATAACAAAATAGCTAATAACAGTAATGTATTAAATAGCTATATTTCCTTTTCATGAAAATCCCACTTTGAATAGGCTTAGAATTTTAAATTATAAGAAAAGTCTCGATATTTCGTGACCCCCATAATAGGAGAGAGTCAAACCGTTGCTATTTGTGTGTTTTGTTTGTTTTTAGGGCGTTAAACCCCTTATAATAAGATTTGATAAAATGCTATTTATGATTCAATTTTAGATTTATCATACAAGTTTCAAAAATTACCATGTCAATCATTAAATAAAAATCAATTTTGACGCTATTTCATTTATTGATCTTTGTTAGAATACGAGAATAAGGCCACTACTAACAGCGAATAGAGTATTCTTTGCAAATTTCAATGAGACACAAAGAACTTGAAGGCTTTCTGATTCACGTAAACAAATATTAAGTTTCATAACATGGTATGTGTGTTTTTATGCGATTGTAGATTGTAGTACTGCTTCTTAGAGTAAAAAAGTATTTTTAAACTGTGAATACCTTAATGTACTAAATAAACATCAGACTTGGAGCCGGTGAGAGATGTCAATAGTGATCCACGTTTCACCGATATAAGAGCACAGATTTTACGATTTTACGGCAAACGGTCAGCTGATGTTACGTGATACCGTCCGCCGCCCATGGATACTCGCAATGCCAGAGGACTCGCGAGAGAGAGTGCGTTGCCGGCCTTTTAGGAATTGGTACCCTCTTTTCTTTAAGGACAGTCGACGTTTGATCCAAATGCATAAAAAAATATAAAAAAAAGTATTTGAATTTTGCAACAATTACAGAAGGAACGTAAGTTTTTGTGACAATTTCAGTGTTCACTCATATATGACACGAATATTAGAGCTAAGACAGCCGGACTCGAGGTGTATTAAATCTTAACTAACTGTTATTTTAGCAAAATAGTAAACATACTTTCTGGAAGATTTTGGCTTAAGATGTTAATCGACATTTTCAAAAATTTATTATTGCAATTTATCAATTACGAAAATTACAACTGACCATATTTTCAATCTGTCATTTCTCGATAAAATCGTACGACTAGTCTTTAAAGGCGACAATACATTAAATAGAGTGCGTATTTATCAATTTGATAAACGAAAAGGTCAAATTCTTTAGCTCTAATGAATAATTGGTAATGTTCGTGACAGGGCACGTAAAGTCGTTTAAACGACCCAATTTTCTTTTTTCTTATTAAAATGTCATTATTTTAATGAAATTAATAAGGGAAAGCTAGGGTTAGGGTTAGGGTTGAAGGATCCTTTCTCCGCAATTAGACTCAGTGGTCGTTTCGTATAGTCCTCTAATTTACCACTAGTCCTTCAACACAAAGTCTCCTGATTCACAGGCTTCCCGACGACCTATTCAGGATTTTTTCACGTTGATTAGCCACAGCCTCCATTCCAGGACTACGTGGGTGACTGTTTCCTCTGCGCTGAAACACCTCTGCACAGGGGGCTGTCTGTCGCGCCTAGGATAAAAAGATGTTTATTTAGGAGGCAATACCCGTTATTGTCCCTATCATTATCTTAAGGTTAGTTCTGTTTAAGTTAAGTAGTCGCTTTGTCAGTTGCGGGTTTACTGCTGGCAAAGCCACTTTGACTGTCTGCAGCGACCATCACTCTTTTGCTGGATTCAGCGATTCTGCGAATCCAGGTTCCACAGCAAGGGCAAAAGGAGCGGAACGGGCCCAGGCACATTCAGCTTTTCAACTCGTCCACATCATTGCCGAGAATCCACTGTGTCCCTTTATCCACTCAAGGTAACCCTATTGGTTCGGGTTATGACCTCCAGTGCTTCATGACACTCCAGTATTGTTTGCTGTTGGTTTTTTGTTTCCGAGCGCCATCAGCACGGATGCACTGTCGGATACGAATTTAATGCAAAAGTCATTAATCCCCTAGCCGCTGCACGGCTCTGGCTGCTTCGGTTAAGCACACATTCACATTGAAATCGTGCTCTTTCCCAAGGTAGGTTATGTTGATGTTGAGATCAAGAGAGAATATGCCACGCCTGAGCCAGACCCTGTTTTGGATCCATCTGTATATATACGAAGCTCATTTACGGTCGACCGATCATGTTCCTCTTCTCTCAGTTGTATAAGATATTTCCTGTTAAATATTAATTGGTTAGTGATTCTATCACAGGGCGCAGCAATAAGAGGTTGATACTCTATTGCCCTGTTGAGAATCGCTGTGTGTGCACTGTAGTGATTTTTTCCCCATAATCCAGTACCATAAGCCTAATAGCAGCCAGGGCTGCCTCCTGCTGTATGTGTAGGTCCAGGGGTAAGATCTGCAGGGCCATCTCCATTGCTGCAGTTGGTGTTGTTTTCATGCAACCGCTAGCTAGCGGACAAGCAAGCCTTTGGAAGCGTCCGAGTTGGTAATTGCCGTTTGAAGTTCAGTTCTGGGCCACCAAACAAGGGCTCCATAGGCTAGCATTGGCCTAATTATGGCAGTGTATATCCATAATGTTATCTTAGGCGATAAGCCCCATTTCACGCCTAGCATCTTTTTGCATTGATAAAAGGCGATCGTTGCTTTGTTTAGTTTGTGTTCTAGATGTTTGTTCCAGAGCAGTTTACTGTCCAAAATCACACCTAGGTACTTGATTTCATACTTGAGTATGAGTTC